CAAATCGCATTTGTTGACATTCGTGAGTGAATCTGCTGCTGTTTTGCTGAATATTCTACAGCAGTATTTGTTGATAACGATAATGCGGTGGGAATTAGCTGCTGAAGAGCTTACCAGATTGGGAAACTTGCGGTATTGTGATGGGAATTCGCCGTAGTGGTTGCTGTAAATTCTTCCGGCTTTGGGAATCAGCGACGCTACACATACGCCGATCCGACGTTATTGACATCCGCGACTCGATTTCCATTGATTACCCTCGAAGAACCGTAATCGATGGAGTTTGTTTACCGGCGGTAACAGTAGTACGTAGTAACAAATTTCCTTTTCACTATGAATGCAGTGAATCATAATATTATCTATCGCTATTAATTTTTTTGGCCTTTGACGAAGAAATTGTACTAATTACCAATTCAAGATATTTAAGTAAAACTTTATCGCAGTAGCTAAATGCTTCTGATTTTCTGGGAGTCGAATATTTTTATTTCAATATATGCATGACTATCTACCAAGGGATGATCACTATGTCCACATTTTTTTGTTATATTAATTAGTCTTGTCATTTTGCAAAAATAATATAATTTGAAATATTTAAAATATTTAAAATTTTATTTTCAACTGTATGTCTTAAAATATAACTCAGAATAACAATACACCATATATATATTGTTTTTAAATATGACTTAAGAGTAATTATTATATCTTAATTTAATTACGTACAGTGGCTCACATGTAACGGAACACGAAAATTAACTTTATATATAGCATTTTTATTTCCATGACTATTAGTCTGGAAAAAATAAAAAAGTGTTCATTGGAACCCTAAAACTCTAATATTTTTTAAAAATAATTTGACAACAGATTATTTTGTGAAATAGAGTGATTTAAATCAAAATTTACAATTAGTAAATTTCTCACATTGAAGAACTTTTTTCTACGACGGATCCAAATTTGAACCACTAATTAAAAATGTACTACTCTATAAAATCTACTTTTTTTACCAATTTTCATAAAAATCAGCTTAATTTATATTATATAGCTATTTAAGTTCCTAAAGTCTGAATCTATGCTATGAGCATTAATACATGAATCAATGCTCCTAGTATAGATTCGGTCCTTCGGGGTTCAAATCTCGGTGAATTTGGGGCCAATTTTTATAAAAACTGGTAAATAGGTAGATTTCATAGAGTAGAACATTTTTAAGTAGTGGTTCAAATTTGGATCCGTCATAGAAAAAAAGTTCTTCAAATGTGAGAAATTTACTAATTGTAAATGTTGATTTAAATCACTCTATTTCACAAAATAATCTGTTGTCAAATTATTTTTAAAAAATATTAGAGGTTTCAGGTTTCAAATGAACACTTTTATTTTGTCCAAACTAATAGTCATGAAAATAAAAATGCTAGAAAGTTAATTTTCGTGTTCCGTTACATGTACGTATACTTTGGGTATACAACAATCCACAGCGATCCGATTATTTTAAGTGAGTCGAAGCACTAATTAAAACTCGATAAACCGAAGTTAGTTACAGGATAGTTATATAATATATTTTTCAAATTTTCTATTACTAGTCCCGAATACTTCGATTTTATCGAGTTTGACTGTACTATACACGTCTATGAAGTGTTGTTGAATTACGTATACATTTATCATAAGCTATCAATATATTGAAAGTAAGGTTCTGTCTGTGATCTGAACGTTTTCATCATTTTTAACTATATTACGCTGTTACAAATTTGAGTTAAGCAATACAATTAACTCTCGTTATAGGAGTAAGGAAAATAATCTTCATTATAGCTTATAACGAGAGGATATTTGAAGTTTATTAATGATTTAAAAAACTCTTCACTGTATCAAGAGTTTCACTATCGCTATATCGAGAGTGAGTTGTACACGGTATAACTTTTTGCAATTCTGCGATGCTTTGTCGTTGAGAACAGACAAATTTTATATGTCAAATAATGATATATACAGTTGAACCTCGTTCTAATAAACTTTTGGACAAGCATATGAAAAATTTACTATAACGAAATTTTTTAATTATAAGGTTATATGTTTTGAAAATTTATTATAACGAGGTTCAACTGTAGACCGGACTAATTTAATTCTTGCGCAGTTCTAAAATTCAGACGGGTTTGCTTCATGGCATGGATCTTAAGCAAAATCTGATTTATATCAGAATATTTGTGAATATACGTAAATCATACATAGATACATGTATAATTTAAAGACTTTTTGTAGTGATACTGTAACTTTATCTTATAACTTCAAATATAATTATATTATGTAAAAGTTTATTATATTTATTGTAAATAACGTGAAATTTATTTAGATATCGTTATTAATAAATTATAATGCTAAAATAATCGTGTCTGCTATAATTGCATCATATCGATATCCGCATTTTACCGTACAGAAAATTGTAGGCTGGGGAAATTTTGATTGAATACCAAAGTGTATTTGTGTCGCCTAATATTAAATTTGATCCGATTATTGAGCTTAGATATTTCTAGCAAAATTTTACAATTTGAAATTAAAGATATAAATAAATACATTTTTTATGCGCGTAATGTTCTTTTTTCATGCATTATTTCGATTAGTAAATAATTTACGATTTCAGCAAATCTAATTAATTAAACCTTGCTCATCGTTGTTAACCTCAGCTTAGTTTTTATACTTGCTTAATCGTGCATAACGTATCTTCACTTTTTATAAATCGTCCCATCTTTCTGCAAATGTTTTGATGCAAAAATCCTTTTTACTCCTTTCTAAATCAATTTCTCATCGGCTGATAAACAATCAACGTCATATCGATGGCCGCTTGGCAACGTGATTTAATCAATTCTCTTGCATAATAAAATTGTGCTTTAGAATGGATTCATCTATTACATTTTTCCGGATTGTCGTTCTGTATCAGCTACTTTTTGTATTCTTTGTCGCAAAGTTCATTTTTGGTTTAAGTTTCAAGTTAAGATAATATCTCTTCACTACGCATTTTTATTTTTTTGAAGCTTGAGAGTGTTAATTCTGGATATGCATTCTACACAGTCAAACCTGTTAAACTGAAACACTAATTAAACCCAGCATAAACTGAATTTGATTCCAGAATAATAAACCCAAAAGTCAATGCATAATTTTGAATTTCTATACTATATAATAATTATTATATCTGCAAATATTCATACAAAACCCAAGCGGTGATATATAACTGAGTCCAGCATATAAACTCCCAATACCATATAACTGATTTCTTCTCTTTTGAACCAATATTTATTTTGATCAGATAAAGATCGCGTCAATCGATAAAGTTGTACTTGACATTGAGGAAATCAATGTATGACAGATTTGATAGACTTGTTATGTTTGCATCTACATGTATTAGATGACTATGTCCATCACTTTCATAGTTGTATCTCTTAGGTGTAGTAGCTTCACTAAAATCATTGCATTTGTTGAAATAACGAATGATGTCATCTGATAAATGAAATTGTGATCAATATAGATATTTCATTACAATATGAATGAATAAATTAAATACAGTGCAAGACACTTAAAGACTGAAATAAATTAACGATCTTTGAAAGCTAATAACATATTATACAGAAGTGATACAAAAAAAAGGAGGCTGTCAATTTGTAGCTAAGTTAATTTACTACAAGCTATCGGCATTGTTTTTTAAAAAATTATTTTCTCGCTAATTATTATGAACGATTGCCAAACAGGACATTAACGTGACTTGCGATTGACCAATCAAATTGTACCTCAATGTATTGAGTTTGATTGGTCTATTTAATTCACGTGATCACATTATCTTGGACTCTATTTGCTGTTGCGTGACTCTATGCATGTAGTGGGTGTTTGTTCTCACTCTCGAACATTGGTAGCATAAACAAATGTGAAAATGTAAAATAAAGGATTACTATCATGAAAAGACTTTTCAATATATTTGATCCCATATCATCTTCAGCATAATCAATACCTTCAGTGTCGATAAAGATAGAAAGATGCTTTACGTGACAATAAATAGCCTCCAAAAAATTTGTAAGCGCTGCTCCATAAATTGTAAGAGAGTTGATTTGTGGTAGAAGTGCTGCCCCAAACTAGGCAATTCTTCACCTATCGTTATAATTAAAGTATAAAAGTCGACAGCTCGAAGGTTCTAGTAAAGAGGAAAGCTGCTCTAAGTTTAGCTCTAGAGCTCGTAAATGCTGAGCGTGTATAAGTGTAAAAGGTAGTAATTCCGCAACCATGGCTATTCCTTCATCAGAAGTATATAAAATTTAAGTTTCTTGAATTAAAAGATACTGGAGATTATCGTTATCGCCACTTTTTTCGATTATATGCTTGATGAATGCTAGTGGCATTTGTCCGAATGTTCCTCCAATCACTAGAAATTCTAATTTCATAAAAATTTCGCAGGTTCTATCCACGAATTCTGCCCGATTGCATCACATTCATGAAAATCCAGAGAAGATTTAAGCACTTTAGATTATCAACTCAGACCGGAATAGCGATCGATTAATCTTGTAAAATCGAATGGCGCCGAATATGTGAGACGAAGATTGAAGACCACTACTGATAGTAGTGGAAGCTAACAAACTCAATTCTAGCCATTCGAGTTCATTTTGAGCCATTATTACGTTTTTTAATTTATCACCATCGGTGGTTTCAATCGTTTCATTATTGGAATATCTCTGAATCCTTATTAAGAATTGAATGGCAAAACTCTTGAAGCCTTCTTTCCAGATACTCTCAATTCCTTGAGGTTGTTGAAAATCAAATTAGGTTGAGGTTCGCGAATCGAGCTGCAAATTTCAACATTCCATAATACAATGACTGGAAGATTTTTCAAAAAGTTGCTTGTTATTTTATTCAATGGTAAAAAACTCTTTGTATTTATCTCTAATTCCGAAACTTGAATACTATTTAGAAAAGTCCGTAACCATATTTTTGCTATCATTTTTATTATTATGTCAAGATTTTTTTACTTCTCCAGAGATTTCTCCAGACACCTGCGGGAAATAAATTCTCATCAATCGAGATGCGTGTTCTGTTAATGTTTTTATACATTGGCGCTCAAAAGTAATGCATCACTGAAACGAAAAAATAAGGCAATTTTAATAATATAAATGCTACAGACATGTGAAATTCAACACATACATGTATATAGTTAAAAGCCTAAATAAACTGCTCACGTATTTTAAATAATAAATGTAACACCACTTTACGTCAAACCAGCGATGCATTTCTTTTGATCGTTCCCCTCAAAATAAAGTATATAAGCACATAAAAAAACAATACACACACCCTATATATAAAATACACCTATGAATATATTCTTTTATTCCATACCATTCAAATTATCATGGCACATATCCCCATCGAAAAAAGAGCCCAAATTTATACCCTTCTAGAAGGATATTCCTCTCATTTTATTGCAAACCGTGAAAATATTTCCCAATCCACCGTCATAAGAATAAAACAAAAAAAAGATACTCATGATACCTTTAAACCAGGTCGTCCTAAAATTTTAACTGGTCGCGACGAACGAAATATCATACATCTAATTTCGAACGGTGATTGTTCTATTGCAGCTTCCATCCAAAAAAAAAAACTGAAATCTGAAGACAAAATCGAAGTCAGAGCAAGCATAATAAAGCGAAATTTATATCATAATGGTCTTACTTCACGAATTAAGCAAAAGAAACCATATCTTAACGTTAATAAAAACATCAACAATAAACAACTGATGACTGGAGCAAAGTTATCTAGTCCGACGAATCAAAATTTATGATTTTTAATTCGGATGGACGTGAATACTACTGGAAACGTGATACTGAACCACTAAAAGAGCACCATGTGAAACCTACAGTAAAATTTGGGTGGGAATATAATGATTTGGGGTTGCTTTTCATCCTTTGACGTTGGCAATATCGTGCGCATTTATGGTCGTATGGATAAGGAATTGTACCGTGAAATCTTAAATGATGATCTTTTAGGAACAATCAGGTGATATGATATTAATAAGAATGATATTGTCTTTCAACAAGACAATGATCCAAAACACACAGCAAACTCTACATATGAATGGTTTGATGATAATGAAATTCGTATACTTGATTGGCCTTCCCAATCACCCGATCTTAACCCAATCGAGCATCTCTGGAACGAAATAGACCGTTTGAGAAGATCATCCATTGCCATTCATACTCAAGATCAACTCTGGGATGAGTCTGGATCGAAATCGATAATGCATTTTTAACAAGTCTAATTGAAAGTATGGAGGAGCGTATCCAAAATGTAATCAATGCAAAGGGTGGATACACTAGATGGTAAAGAATATTTAGTTAAAATTTGGTGGATTTTTATTCGCTAGTTAGCTAGAGATTTCAATTTGAATTTTTGTAATCAAAACGGTCAAAAAAAAAACGGAAATGGATTATTTTATTTTTTAAGTTACGGATGAAAAATAATAATAAAGTAAATATAATAATTTTTTATATTTGGTGACTAAAATAAGCTTAGTTATATATTGTTTAACGTTGTCTACGAGGTTATTGCGTCGCAAAATTTATCTTTCAAGTGATGCATTACTTTTGAGCGCCACTGTCCGTTTCCCCTTTAGTAACGGTAAGCTCAAATCAGAAAACTATGCGATGTGTGTGGGGGGGATAAACTTACAAATTCAAAATTCAACTACGTACATAACAATTAGAAAAAAATTTACTTTAAAATTTAAAATTTTATTATGTGAAATAATAAACATTATTTATTTAAGTTTGTAGATTTACAATTACATTTATTTTCGGATTCGCACAATGTCGAAAAATGTTTTATGAAATATTTACAATGCTTTCGCTCAAAATCTATATTAATTACTGTATTATGAATTATTTTATGAACAGTATTTACAAAAAATTGTTTTTTTCAAAGACTAATTTTCTGGCATCTAGCATTACAACACACAAACCAACTACCACGCACGCCATCCGATTCCGAAAATACCAACTCTCGCAAATTCACAAAAGCTGCAAAGTAATCAGCCGGAACCAACCGCGAAAACGAGCATTTTGAAAATAACAATGTCTGTAAAGTACGCGAATGATGTTGTCGTAATGCAACCAAAACTTGCGTTAAATCGTCATCACGTGCAGACTCTATCCAAAAATTTTCTAAATTCCGCTGTGATTTAATTAATGTGATGATACTATCCAAATTTATTATTGTTCCTTTTCTTTCAAAATTTATGGCGTTAATGCGGCTGTTGTTATTAAGGATGTAGTAGTTTTGCAGCGGTTGTTGTTGTTTGAACAATAAAGAAATTGAGTGAATTTTCTTTTGACGTCGTGAGATCGTTTGCATTATGTCATCAGCCGCATTTACGAATAAGGGATTCTTTGTAAATATTGTTTCTAGACCAATTTGTCGGAACTTTGTTGCCCGAGTAATAAACATTTTCATGAATATTTGAAATGTTTGAATTTCTTCGCATGTTGTCGATTTTCCCCGTCTATTCAAAGGCTCGAAAGTGGCTTTAATGGCACTGAACAATGAAGTGTCATTTAAAGTTTCCAAGTATCTCTCATATCGAAATGTCGGACGTGACGAATATCGACTATAGTTGTAGTTATTAATCAATTGATGCAGGAGTACATGATCTTTAAGCGGTAATAGAATTTTCAATAATGCTGATTTTTCTTCAGGTAATAAACACATTGTGTATGTCAAAATTAATCTTTCTTTTTGACGATTTATCATTTTATTTTCTGATTTTTGTTGTCGCTGATTATTATTAGAATGCCAACTTGCACTATTGGGATCGACTTTAGGAAGCATAGCAAATGGGTTTCTCCATAATATTCGTGAAGTAGTACGACACCAAAAACGGTTGACAAATAAGCAGTTCTTTAATGATTCCCGATCATTTTGTAACGGTTCAAGAAAGTGGGGAAGAAGGTCAGCAGGAAGAGATTTCATTATTTGTTATTTAGAGTATCACTAATTATTATTATTAGTAGTTCAAAGGGAATTCAAAGAAAGAGAAAACTAATTATTTCAAAAGAAAAGCCAGCAAAAATCGTGTATTTTTAAATAGTCAACAAAAAAAACCAAAACAATCAAGAATACATTTTCTTTATGTGTTATTGATGCACTTGACAACTGATTGATAGCCACAAATAAAAACACTATACTGTTGTCAAATAATATATACTGTACATCATAAAAATAATCGGATTTTAAACAATCGAGTTTTTTCTTGAATTGATCTCTAAACTGTTAAGAATACAATACACAAGTTTCCTGTCTTATGCAATAACCGAACATTCCCTTTTTAAGAATTTAGCGTAACGTAAACTACGACATGGGTGTGATTTAAAGTTAATATACACACTGCGAATTTACGTCATTTATTGAAGATCAATTATTGTAACGAACTGATAATATGATGCATTAATGGTTATTTACAGTGGTGGTGCAGTTTTACCCGAATGCATATCTAAACAATGAAAAATATGTGCAGTTTATGCTTTTCCATATGTTACTCAAAACGAGAATAACAAAGTGTTATTCTTTCCCTTTGTCAATTAAGAACATATTAACGGGAATGCATCAGGTACATCAATATTGAATAACGATAGTGTACGTGCACAACAATAGTTTGGGTTATTTTCTACAAAAAATCAACATACAGTGTATTACGTACAGTCTTTAGACAGAAGCTTTTTACTTATAATTCAATGAAAAATTATCCAAATAATATAAATATACAGTCAACTCTATTTATAACGAACTGACGGTTCTGTCAATAAAAGTTCGTTATATCAAATTTATTATATTTTATATAACGAACACATAATAAATTTAAAATTGCGAGTTCGTTATATCCTGTGTTTGTTATATCCAGAGTTGACTGTATATATACTTTGAATTCTATAATAGTAATAACAAAAATAAGATTAATTAATTATAAAAATATTTATTTAAATAATATATTAACTAATATTTTAATTATTTTTTGTTTTAAAAATAAAGTATATGATTTATTAGATAAAAAATTTTAGTTCAATTTGATTGGTTTCTGAGCAAAATTTTTTGATCTAATAATATCACATATTTTACTTTTAAAAAATTTGATATTAAAAATAAAATTATTAATTCTAATTATATTAAAATATTAATATAATTATATAACTAATCTAATAAAAATTATATAATTTAATCAAGCAATATCTCTTTATTGATAAATTATAATTAGTTCAAACTCATCAAAACTAAAAAACAAGTTATAAACTAGTGAATTAATAGTAAAAATATAGAGATATATTTCTAAATAATAAATTAACTAAATAATATTAATTAATGACAAAACAAAATTAATTATCATAATTAACTTTACAAACTAATAAAATTTATTAAGTAATATTATTTAATTAACAATTTATTTCTGAGAAATTCATAAAATATTAAATACAAAAATAATCTGATTTTATTTAGTTTTTAAATTTTATTCTTAAAAAAATAACTTTGTATAAATTATTAAAAAGTTAAAAAATAATATTTAATTTTTATTATAAATTATAATAAATTTTATCAAATTGAATAAATTTTAATAATCTTTAAAAAATTGCTTTTATATTTAGAAAAACATTGTTAGATTTTTTAATATATATAATATATTTATTATATTTATAAACTATAAATAATATACTTAAAGATTATAATTGGAAATTTATTATAATTTATATTAATAATATTAATATATTCTTTTAAATATTTATAATATTTTATTTTATTTCTAATAAATATATAAAACTAAACTAAAATTCAACAAAATAAAATATAACTTTATTTAAAAAGAACTATTTTTTTAGAACATGTAATTAAAAAATTCTCTTTTAACTATATAATTTTTTTTGATTTAGCTAAAAAATTTTGTGAAATTTTGTTTTATCTGTTAATTTACTAAAAGCTAATAATTTAGAAAATCCTTGAATTTTATTAAAGCTAAACAATTATTTTATCATATTATAATAAATCTTATTAAATTATATAAATTCAATAAAAAATTATTATATAGTAATTATTATAAACTATATTCAGAAATTGTAATTATCACAAACCATTACTGGTTACAATTTTACAAAATACAAAATTTTATAAAGAACTTCAAGTTTTATTTTTAGCCTTTGACAATTATTAACAAACCTCATTTTAAAAATAAATTAATCTCAAGCAAATTTAAATTTCTAACTATCCATATAGTTTACTAACAAGTAATATTGGTTAAAATTGTTGAAAAACTATTAAAATACTAGCTTTTCACAGTATAGTCACGATTTACAAAAGTTCCTCTATTAAATATTGAATCGTTTCAATAAGCTAGAACGTCATACATTGATATAATTCTAAGGACGTTAAATTGGATAATTGTTGGCGGAACGCAATCCAGAAAAACATAATCGACTAATTTTGCTATTGCGTTTTTTTATTCGTGAGCCGAACGAAAAAAGTTTATTAACTGGAACAAAACAATCTTTATTTGAAGAATATCTAATTTTAAATTTACTTCTACATTGAAATCGAGTTCGCACCAAATTTGGATATTTTGAAAGATAATGGCAATGGATTAGAGTTAATTTTCACTAAAATAATACTTTTTTAGACTTTACAGAATAAGAATTCCTAATGCTTTGAGCTTTTGACGATGAAAATAAATTATAGATCGGGTTAGTATTTTGTAATGTAATTTATCTGTTAGAATGACAAGAGTTATCCGACAATTCTCCAGTTTTATTTGACAGTTAGTTTAAAAAAATTACTATTGCAACGGCCGCAAATTTCTATTAGATGTAGCCTAAATTGATGCTTATGAAGTATTTCAAGTAATAGTGTATATTTCTGTTTTTAAGAAATATGGTGCAAACTGTCTAAAGTCATCCAATATATCAAATACGTACTTTAAGCTGTAAAGGATTTGCATCCAAACACTTTAATTACAAAAAATACGTTGTTAAATAGTCTTTGATAAGAACTATAATACGTATAACGATAACGTATTTTGTGATTAAATTGTTTGGATGCAAATCCTTTACAGTTTAACGTTAAAGTACGTATTGGATATGCGTATTTGATGACTTTAGACTCTGTGCCATATCTTTATTTTTATTAACGTTAACAGTGAAATTCAGCTTACATGTAAACGTAATAATTGGGTTTAGTCAGAAAATTGCCTTCTTTTATTGTGACATTAGATTATTACTACAGTATATGACAATTCAAATTAAAGACATTTCTGTAAAGTCAAATTCCTTTTACAACGGCTGCATTGGATTGGCACTTTTGAGCCGGTATATAGTGCTTATATTATAAACTTCGGTATATAGGGAGCTTTTAAATAGTTAAAAATTGTAAAAATTGGGATATCAACACGGTATAAGCCAAATCTGATGTATACAGCGCCGCCGTTATAAAGGACTTTGACTGTACATTTTATCTCCAAAACATATATTTTTTGATTTAACAATCTTATTAATATATAAATAGATCAAATTAATGAAAACCATTCGAAGTTAGCCCACTACATTAGCATCAAGTTCTTCTGTATACAAAAAAGATAATACTCGTTTTATTGGTTTTATAACCACGTCGAATCTCTTGATTAGATGCAGTCTCAAAGGAAGGTAATTTCTTTAAACTAAAACTTGAGCTGTTCAATTGAAACAAATAACATTATAAATACACAGCTGATCCCGTTAAACCGAGGTTTATTATAAATTCGGTTTATTGAGGCAGGTTTACTATAACTTTCATGAACCATCTTTTATTCACCGAGGCAGGTTTACTGTTCCTAGAACTAAATTCGGTTTATTAGTACTTTGGTTTAACGGGTTGACTGTGTGCAAGTATAGTAGCGAAATAGCATGAACAGACAACAAATTTGTTGGATTCTTTATAGGATTAAAAAGTCGTTAGCTAAAAATCGTAAAATTGAATATTATGTCAATTCAAAGTATCTCGAATTTATATGATTGTGCAATATTAATACCCTGCAAAAAAACCCAACGTTTTTCTATATGAATCGTCGGTATATTTACCGTTTAGCACTGTATTATACACAGTGCTAAACGGTAGTCCGTGATTTTACTAACCTAAATTTCTCAGATCCGACATATAAATCGCAAAATCTGAAGTTTTTTTGCAGGGGTTTTGGCTTGCAATAAATTGGAAGACAATGAAAAACTCACTAAAAATCTACAAATAGAGCCATGCACAATCTCCTTCTTTTTCTAGCCTAAAGTATCGAATATAACTAGCTTTGCGTCAAATAATTATAAAATTTAGCAGAGTACTTTTCAAATATGGTGTTATAAAAGTCTTTGGACGGAGGCTTTTTAATTTTTTTTAAAAAAACAGACAGTTTTATAATTTTTATAAATTATATGTAATCCTATGAATATTAATTTTAGATATACAAATTGTAGCCAAAAATAAGCCAACAACTGTTTATGTTTTATATTGATAATCAAAACTATGAAATTATCATTGTAATAAAATATGTATAATGATAATACTATTAGCTTATTAAAATTATTATTTTTAAATAATTGATTGTTTTGAACATTTAAAAATTCATGTTTAATAATAAATTAGTATTTTTTACTTAGTATCATCATTATAAATAATTATTATATTATCTAACTAATATTTATCAAAAATTTTTTAAGTTTTATATTACTATTAGAAATTTAACTAGTTTTCATTTGATTAATTTTTGTTTTGAGCTTTTTTATATAATTAATAGTAAGAATAATCTCTGAAATAATATTATTCAATTAAATAATTTTTCAAAATTAGCTTGCTGAAATTAAATTTGAAATAATTTTAATTTATTTATTAGTAACTAAAATTATTTTTTTGTAATTATTTGAATTCTATAAACCAAAACAAATATTTCTAGATAGTTATTAATATAAGTA